CAGGCAGCAAGAAGTCGCGCCAGGGTGAGCTGATATCAGCTCTGGTCAGCCTTCTCGGCTCAGCCTTGTCAATCACTTGATTCAGTCTTTTCTTGGAGTATTGAGATCGTCCGATTCCTATCTCTTTTTGCTTTGGTTTGATCGCTTGATCTTGCAGTGGCAATGGCAGTGGATCTGGGGGGAACTTGCGCACGATCCTCCCAGGCATCAATGCTTCTAAAAAGAGCCATTTACTGAGGAGAATGTCGCCATGGAACCGACTCGAGGAGAGTTGTTAGAAGCGTCAGACCTGCGTTGCTGCGTCGCACGTGCGCCTCCACCTCTTCCCTTGTTTCCCTCAAGTATTTCTCAGGCTGAGCTAGAAACAATTGTGACAGTCTTCAAACGTTGGTCAGCCACACATGACGTGTCTGAAGGAGTCGGAGTTGACGTATCTTGAGGAACAAGATTGACGCCACAGGTTGTCGATTCCACCGGCGAACTGCGAACTGCGAACTGCGCCTCAAACTCTCTCGCAAGCGGCGGCTTAATCGGGTCTAGCGGGTCTCGTCAGAGCAAGTACTCCATAGGAACTCCATACTTTCAAACCACTGAGACTGCGCCAGCCTCTTCACAATCTTGATCCCTTTGGTATACATTTCATGCGAGTTACATTCACATCGCACTTGGTACTGTCAGCTCTTCATTCTGCTTTGTCTCCCTCAGAGACATTCCCATCAAGTACACCCACAAGCAAAAGAGGAAGAGGAAGAAAAAGAGAAAGGAGCAACAGTGACAAAGTGGCAGTGGCTGAGCCAAGTCAACCAAGACTTACTATTACGCGTCGCAACGGTTGCTTCCCGTGTCTTTGTCCACGAGGGATGCGCAGTGTGAACTCTCCTATATGAAGTACCTCTACTTTGCGGATATCGTCTGCCCTTGCAATTCGTCCATTGGTCGTCTGGTCTGTGCGTACAGACCTCGCCTTTACACCTGAGGTATATCAGTGATTCCTTTCTCAATTCATCACTCTCCGCAGCACTGCGCAACACGGTCGTTGTCACGCCAGAGTGAAGTCTTGCCTTTGTGCGTCCCTCGTCCTTCATCCCTAGTCCCTCCGAAGAGCAGCAGGAAGCGAAAAGCTACCGAACTCCAACGTATTCGGCTTTGAAACCTGCAATCAAGCTCAAGGGAACGTCCTGCTTCTCAAAACACCAGAACCCACATCTACATTATCTAGGCAACAAGAAGCTTTCCCCGAACCTCTTTCCTCAACCGATCGAATCAACCCCCCGAGCAAATCAAATCACCCCCGCCAAATCCGTCATGGGCGACAAATTCGATCCTCCCCAATATCCTCCCCCCGCTCAAACCAACCAAGCAGGCTTCCAGTCCCCTCCGCCCCAGATGGCCTACGACCCCAACTACCAGCAACAGTACGATGCCAGCCGCGGCGCGAACCAGGGTTACTATGGAGGCCCGCCGCCGCCGCAGGGCTACTATGGCGGAGGACCTGGCTACGGACCACCACAGGGGTGGAACGGCCAGCAACCACCGCCGGTGGTGTATGAGAGGGATCGAGGGAGCGGCGGCCCGGGCATTTGTGCAGGGTTATTGGCGGGGTTGGCCTGTTGTTGCTGTTTGGATGCCTTGTTCTGAGCGTCTCTCCGGTGATGAAGATGAGGAGGCTCGGAGAGACGGAGAGAAATTGAGATGAAACACTCGTCTAGAGACGGTAAAAGAACGTCCAGCTGTTATCTGGGGATTTATTCTTAAGGGTGGGATATTTTCCCCCGTTTCTTCCTTGTGCCTGTATGGATTTTTGCATAGCGTTATGAGCTGGGAACAGCAAAGAAATGTGAGCTTCACAATATGTCCGAGGACAGACTGTGATGCATTTTTGATCTAATCGAAATGGCCTTCCGACTGCCAGTTCGTTCCCTAATGGGAAGTTCACCTCGGTATCTTGTCCACCTCACATTATAGAGCAATTGTTGGCCTGACTCAAGCCACCACTTTCCGTCGTCGTTCTCGCTGCAGTCCGGGTGATGTCCTCCAGGACTTCCCACATCAGCTCGCCCGTCAACGCACTGCACTCTGCATACCGATCACAGTGCATCTCCTGGGCGGCGCGCAGACCTTCCTGTGGCATGACGCATTCATAAGACCCATCCTCACGCTTCTCCTCGGTGCGCTCGTCTCGCTTGAGACCCAGCAGCATGACCGGCATGCTGTGCTCAAGGTCATGGTAGTGCAAGGACAGCTGCTTGCGCCAGTAATGCTGTGCATTGTGCAGAGACTCACGGGAAGAAATCGAGAAGGCGATAATGGTAAAGGCCGGTTCAGGCGGGAACGGGTCGATGAAGAGCGGCGACGTCGATGCGTGGATTCGGAAGTTGTACGGACGCCGAAACAAGGTGACGTCGAAGGTCACTGGCCCAACTGGGGCGAAGACTCGTTTCCTCGGCGCAGATAGATCGAGCTTGCCGTCGCGGATGTGTTCCAGCTGTCTGCGCGCCCGCTTTGAGCCTTAACATTGGACCGGACTGGATGGAAGAATGAAAAGGGGATGACTTACGATAGGAAGGTGGCTTTGCCCACGCCAGGGCTGCCGAGGAAGAGAATATCAACCTCCGGAACAGGCTGAGCCTCGGGGACTGGCGCTGTCATGGCTAAGCTCGTTGCCACGGACGGCGTCATTCATCCTGGTAGCTGAGTCGGGAATCCATGCTATGATGCGGAGGATAGGGATTGACAGGGGAGAAAGAATTGGTGCATGGAAAAAGTTGATATCAGCCTTGGCCAAGAAGCCCAGACCTGTGCCGCTTTCGACGGCTGGCAACGTCCTCAACTCTCCAACTCTCTGCTTGTCTGGCACGCTAATTCTGTTCCCGATTCTCTACCCGAAAGCATGCGGAGCTGGCAACTGTGTTATGAGATCCAAATTCGTTGCTGGAAGGTTGGCTTCGGGTTGATGGAGTAGAGACTGTAGTTGAGCTTGACCATGGGCAAGCCATCGGGAGGCGGGACAGGCGAAGTAGATTCTTGTCTGACAAAATGGACCACTGGTATGCTCAATATGCTACGAAAGGAGGGCGGCTTGTTGTCAGACGGCGCTCTTACTTTTCGACGCAGCCTGGCAGGTGGTATGGCATAATACGTCATCATACTGAAAGCGGCCACTGTCACCCTGCACGAACTACGCGTCTCCTTGTCTTTTGAATGGTGTAGCCTGCGACTTCTCTACGCCAGTATCCTTCTCATTCATACTTTACTCCAGTTTATGCCGGTCACTCAGCTGTCCCAGCTCCAACCGGGCCAATTTGTTTCGATCGTCCTCAAAGCGGACCAAAGGACCGGACGACAAGTTCAAGGCGCCATCTCCCAACTTCTTACCCGCCACAATCATCCTCGAGGGATCAAGGTCAAATTGACCGACGGCCGAGTCGGACGTGTCCAACGGATTCTCGCCCAAGCGCCACCTTTGTCGCACGGCAGGATGTCGTCGAATAACCCCTGGGCAAGCGCCGAAAGCCAGGGAAACCCTTACACTTCTCCCACCTCCAACCAACAGAACCAAGGCGCAGCACAATCCTACTATCAGTCCCGTCCTTCACAGAACCAGTCACAGCAATATCATCCATCACAGCAACAGTCGCCCACGCCGGCGCAAGGAATCAACCGCTCCGACACCGAACAGCTGTTGGCGCAGCAGAGCGACCGAGCAGAACAAGTCGAGCACATGCAGCAGTACGAAGCGAATGCTCGGCAAACAGAGGACGACAGGATCCAAGCGCAGCTCCAGAGAGAGTTCCCGAACATTGACAGCAGTTTAATAGCTGCAATCTACAATGAGAGAAAGGGGCAGGGCGACCTCGGTGAGGTACGGGAGTTGTTGCAAGAATTGAATACCAGTTGATCGAGGAAATGGGACCACAGAGACTGAGCGCTGAAGAAAGAAGCCGACCCTGCGTCGTTGACGGACAAGTTGCATCCGATAGCTGCAGAACGTAGCAGACGAGGCGACACTCCGGAGTGGAGTTGTGCTGAGTACTAGTGCTTGCTCTAGACAGTCTCAAACTTTTCCGGTCTATCCTCAATCACGCGTCTCTTGTTCCTCTCCAGGGGCTCGAGAAGCCCATACAACTGAGAGACAAAGGTCCACTTCTTGCACAAGTTCGCCTTCATTGTAGATGAGGCCGTGTTCAACCTGGCGACGAATTCCTCCCAGTTGCTACCGAGGAAGCACCCTTTGTTAGACAGTGCAGTCTATCCTCTGAGCGGCTTTGGTCTCATTCGTTATGGAGTTGTTTATGGCATTGATTCCACAAGTCTGGTTTGCGCTAACTTTTCAGTCTTTGCACATATGACCGGCTCAGAGCACACGTTCTGTGCCATTGCAGGTATATCCGGCCGTCAAGAATCTTTGCAGTCTATAGCGTTCACTACAACCATGAAATGCCTTGGAACGCCGCAACCACGGCCTAGTTGGCTATGTGCCTGACGGTGAGTGATTGTCAGACATGGTGTATCGGCTAGATTGAAGCATAGATTAGAGCTTCTCGTGCCGCCAGGACGATATTCATCGGGCAGCCAAGGTTGTCCCATGCCATCGGTCTCTTTGCTTGTCCTATACAGAAGGTCTGACAACCGCAAGTCCTTGTCAGGCAATGATGTCAGCGACGTCTCCGACGCACACGATATGCCCCTGAACTATATGTCAGTTCGGTGTGTCCAAGATAGTTCGGAGACCGATTGTTTGGCTTTAATCCACGGCAAGGCCAGACGCAAAAGGGTTCATGATGTGTCGGCGATCGATATCTCGCCCGGAGGATATTATGAGGTTGACAATCGGCCAATCCCATCTGGCCATTCCTTCGCAACCTTGCACAGAGCAACGGTTCGGAGAACTGGGTCAACAGTCGCTTTTTTAAAGCTTAAAGAGATCCCTTCTCTCTAACGATGGTTTCAAGTCCACAGCGCAACCTTCGCCCAAGAATTTCACGCACCAAACTCACACCATGGCGCGGTCGTGCTCATTGCTCAAAAACAAACCACACCACCTTCTGTGCCTTGGGCCACACTATGACATGGCTCTCAAGCTCCAACAAAAGCTCGCCCCTCACTTTACCTACTGCGCCATCTTCACCAAGATCGAACCCAAAAAGACATACTCGCTGGACAACTTCGAACTGATGCTCGAGGTAATCTACCTGGCCCCCGAAGGCGTCATTCTCGGAGGTGGCTTAAACGAAGAGGAAGGCGAGGAGATGCGCCAACTCGTCGCGGCCCGCAAAGACGAGAATGGACAGCCGATGAAGTTCGCCAAGGTCCTTCCCGGCAGGTTTGAGCAGAGCAGGCCCGAGGGTCTAGTCGAGACGACCCAGGGACTTGTAGGGCGAGGCCTTCAACGTTGAATGGTGAAAGGGGCAGGGCCCCCTGCCAATCCAGTTCGAACTCGACACAGAGATGCGGACGCTGAAGGCTAACGTCAGGAATTATTACCACACAGGCGTGCCTGGTTCAAAGCTTTGAGAGAGCACGGCCCTTTTCTTTGGTAAGGAGATGTGGGATGTTGAAGAAAGCATTAACATTGGGCACAGTACCTCGGTCAATGGAGTTTCGAGATTGTCACGCGTGTCTCACGCCGTATTCCTTTGTATAACTAAATGCCACAAGCTCGCTGCCACTTGCTACATACTGTGCACGTTGAATACTGTGAAATTATTCCGCCCCCCCCCCCTCTGAACCGATTGCCTCTCCTTCGTTTCCATCCCACACACCGAGTGTCCTCGAAACAGGTTACATACCGTAGTTAGGTATGTCACTGACGGCGCTGTGCAAACGGTCCACCCCTGTTGGCCAAATCGACGGCTCTCTTTGTGGCCTCGTCAAAGTCCTCCTGGGGCAGGCCCAAGATGTCGTTGTGTAGGCCGTACTTGGACCCGTAGTCGCCGTCGCCGTTGGGGTAAAAGACGCGCGCGTACAGCAATTTGACGAAGCCCATCCTGTCACCGGCACGCATCTGCGCCACGCCGCTCTCGTACCGCGCCTTCACGTCCTCGTGTGCGACAGTCCAGTCATTCTCGCTGTTCCCAGTGACACGCAGCACCGACGCGAGCATGTCGCGCTGGCTGGCCCGGAACGATGAGATGTACATGACGTTGTTCCGGAACATGGACAGCGTAGGCGTCTTGTCGGCCTCGTCGTCAGGCAGGATCTTCAGGCCGAGCAGTGCCGCGGCCGCGCGGCCGCACTGTAGCCAGGTGGTCGTGTTGATCTTTGTGTTCCCGTCGTCGTACAGCGTCACGGTCTTGTTGGGGATGTCGAACCCATACGTTCCTGGCCCCGCCGCCAGCGAGTACTCGTACCAGAAGCTGCAGGTGAAGCTGATCCAGGCGCTGACGCCGAGGCTCTCGATGTGCTTGCGTGTCACGTCCTTCTGGTCGCCGATGATGATGTCGTGCTGGAGCCCCTTGTTGCGCGGATCGCTGCTGTATTCGTTGGGCAGGATCCACGGCACACCCGCCGCGGCCGCGGCGTCGATCAGTTTCGTCTCCGCGTCCTTAGGCGCTGTCACCGCCATGGTGATAATCAGTGCATCCTGGCCCCTGAGCGCATCCACCAGCGATGCTTGGTCCTCGTAGTTGACTTTCTTGACAATCATGCCCTCGGGCACCGGGCTCTTCGAGTCCGTCCGCGTGATGGCCGTAAGCTTGTGTTTGCCCGTTTTCAAGAGTGCCCGGGCCATGTATTCGCCGACCTGGCCTCCTGCCTGTTGTTGCCGTCTGTCAGTCAATGCTCTTGGATTTTATGCGATGAAAGACGGAATTGATAGTATCATTTGCCTCTCTGGCTGTCCACTTACACCGACAATTGCAATATTTTCCACATAGTTCTTGTAGCCCTGCAGCTGGTCCTTCGCGTACTGCTGCTGTGTCATGATAGGAGGCGTTGCGAAGGTTATTTTCAAAACAGAAAAGGCGGCCTTCAATAAAATATCAAAGTTGTTCGGATCACCGATATGTAAGAAAAATAGACAAGTCTGATGATAATGTTGCTGTTGCCGTTATATGGTACCTGATATTCACTGTCTGTGGTGAATGGCAGGTCAAACTTGGACATCGCAATCGCCGCCAGTGTCTCTATATGTACCGTTTTCCAATCCGACGTTGAGCGGCGAGATCTCGCATATGGAGACCTCTACCGTCTCTCTATCCCTTTCTTGCTTTTTTGGCTTGCGTTCGGACCTTATATCTCTATATCCGACCGGCATTTCCAGACTGGGCTATGGGCGAAAACCCGTCCCTGCCCGTCGTATAGAAGAGATGCAAATAGGCAATCGAGACGTCATTAAGCCCCTGAATGAGGCATAGCGCCGCTGCCTACTAGGGATACGACGCAGTCGGAGGAAACAGGCGCCGACTTCTCGGTGACTTTTGCTCCTGCAGTTGACTGGGTGAGACGGTAAATGGACAGTCCTACGCACAGATCCAGGTAGACACATACCGAGGATCATTAGGGCTCGCCCATATCGCTTTTACTCGGCCGGAAGTTGGAATTGCGATCCGGACGACTCGGGCGATGTTTCGGCGTTTAACATCATAGCCTGAACGGGTTTGTACTCAGGCACGCAGCGTGCTCGTGCTAGGTGCAAAGGCTGACAAAAGGCATGGCGCCCATCCAGCAGTCGCACAACTCTTAACGAGTTTGTGAGTTCAGACGACTCTGGGAAATGAGCCAAAAGAAGAATGTAGGGAAATGGCAGGGCTGATTATGTACAAGGCTAAGCCGCCTCAGCCGCCTCCTTAATTTTTCAGGGGATTCAGCCTCGCTGGTCCTTGATCAAGAACTTTCACTCTGGGTACGGAGCATTCTCATTCTCGCGCCCAATCTGGCAGGCTCAGAAGGGCGAGCACAGAACTTTCCATTTCTTGACTTGTGCTGTTTTGGATGCTAGATTACGCTGACTCTTTTTTTTTTATATAGTACCAAATTTTTACGAAAGATTATGCCGAATGTTGAGGTATTCTATTGTAATAAATTTGGTCTAAAATGGCTGGTGTACGAGAACCTTGCAGACATCTGTTTCAATGAAGCTCGAGTGGACTCTGCAAAGCCCCATTCATATGCTGCTGGCTAACATGTCTTTTTCTGCCAAGGAGAACTGCTGTGGTCGGCAGCACTCTCGCGTAGCTGAGAAGGCAGCGGGGCGGTGCAAGTCGATGAGATAGCCTTCTTGATCCCGCTTTAGACGACCGCCCAACCCTGAATAACTCTGTTCCTTCTCACGCGCATCAAAACCATAGTGACAGCCTTACAAGCAGCCGCACAATCCTTCCCGGGCATGCTTTCACGATGTCCCAAAGCGTCGCCCAGCAATGGCAGACCCTATATCGATAATAGGTACCGTTGGTTCGATCGCCAAACATCATCGACATCGTCGGCAAGACCACAGTTCTATTCGTGAATTTCGAAATGACTGGAAAGAGGCAGATTCACCTTTCTCAGCCTTACCACCCAGCTTACGGCTCTCCACGCAGCACTTGTGAAAATCAAAGAATGAGTGGATAGTGATCTTGGTGATGCGCTCTATCAGTTGGTCATGGACCTGGATGTTTCAATGAGTTGCTGCAGATGGTTAATCGGCAAAATCGACGGACTGTTCTCAGAGCTGCACTAGACGGCGGACGCAACACTAGACATTTCTAGTAAATTCAATGCTTGTCTTGGGAGGTAAAAATGTAGAGAATATTCAGAAGTTGATTGAACAACAAACGAGCACTCCGACTTTACTACTCACAGCATGCAACTGGTAGGTCTTGAATATCGTGCTGATCAGCTGTCCAAAATGCTCATTACTCCAGCAAAACAATATCCGAGCAGAAAGGATTAGTTGAAAAGTCCAGTACTCGGAATGTCCTTCGGCGAATGGAAATTGATTCAGCGTCCTTACTTGTGCATCACGACTCAGCTTCTCTCATTAGCCAATGGACGGACAATTTATCTAAGCTCTCGGCCATTTTCTCCCTCGATAGAGAGCTCTTTGTTTCCAAGATTTACGAGCGGGCGTTTCGAGGCTTCGTAAAGGAATTATCAGGGACCTACGCAACGCAGTAGGTACAAAGAAATTGGAGTAGCTGAATGCCTTGTTCTATTCACGTAGTCCTATTAACAACGACTCAACGCTTAAGAAAAAGGAAGAGTTCTCTCTCAGCCGGTTCGGGTGAGAGGAGACTCTTATAGCTTCCCCTCTTTCTGTCACGTGAAAAGGGTAAGGCAGCGTTAACCGATAGCCTTGTGCTTCAATCATCCTTTGCCTTATCCTTTTCTTTCTATACCGTCCACCCGATTCGGGTGGAGGGCGTAGAGTACTTGGGGACAACGGTGGGCTCGTGACAGGAATCCCTAATGCGACAACAAGGCGATACACAAGCTAAAATACGGTCACAAGCGATCGACCGTGGGCTTGAACTAGACTCAAGACGGCTGAGACGTGAATGCAAGTCGCTTCTACTTGGTACCAGAGAGAGTGGGAAGAGCGAAATTGTAACGCGGTGGAAGAGTCTCCATCAAAATGGCTATACGGTGCAAGAGCTAGCACTTTGGCGACCTATAGTTTACCGAAATCTCGTCAGCTCTGCACAACTTTCCATTAGGGAGACGGGGCAATTCCAAATACACCCGGAGCAGGAGGGCAATCGAGCGCACTGCGAATTCTTGTTGAATTACTCTGTCGACCCAGATCCAGACAAGCCTCTCGAAACGAAGGTTGGCGAAGCAATCAGCTCTATATGGCACGACCCTTGTATTCCAAGAATTCTCGAACGCTCGGATGAATTCTATATGATGGACTCGGCCCCATAGTCAGTGAACCGACCCAATTATTTTGCTTAACACTAATAGTTCGAAGTTTGTTCACTGAAGCAAAAAAAGAATTGCGTCTCCAGACTACGTCCCACGACCAGAAGACCTGTTCAGAACCAGAGAAAACTGGGCCAGTCTCATCTCGAGGCTTACTTTCCGACTACACCGGTGGTAACGACGTGAATAGGGCCGCAAAGCACATTTTCTGGGGCTTCAATTAACTCAACCGCGCCAGTCTCAATCTGTCTCCGCATCTTACAATGACCACCGACGAGACGAACATGAGACTCGTGTTTGCCACCTTCAAAAAGATTGTACTTCAATCTGCATTACGCGATTCTGAGATTTTCTAGCAAAGAGGCTGCATTTCAGTTACTATTCGCCCATTGTATCACTCTGCTATACTGGTTGGTACCAGCTACTCGGGGCATCATTCCATCCGTAACACGGGGGTTTCTCTTGCTGTAGGGATCTGTAACAACGATACCACGCGGGATAGGGAGTCTATCATAGTAAGTGTATCGAGAGAGATTATAGAACGCTGCGAGTGCACAAAGTGAGGATGTGGAACAACAAAGGTATTGAAATCTGTGCCTCTATTTAATGGTCGTGACACTCTGTTGGTTTATACCTATTGACTATGCCCTATCTCCGAGCCTTTCCTAGCATCCTCCGGTGACTTGTGACCCATGCTCGAGAGGTTAGGATTCGTACCACCAAGAGATCGGCAGTGACTAGCATTCCTGGCACTTAGCTGCACCGTTGAATGGGTGAGGCTGTACAATCGTATACGAACCTGACACGGAGGTAGGTTAGGGATACTAATAGTACGCATGTCCTTCGCAACGAGGCAAGCAACTGGACACTCGAAAGGTCTCAGGGTAGGTACCTCAGGACAGGATATTCAAGATAGGTTAAGACGGCTTGATTGATATTGATTGATTCAAAACACAGGACTCTGTGCTGCCAGGGCGTAACCTGATACCTCCCTAACAAGCTCTGTCCCACTGCCCTGGCCGCTAACCTACCATGCGGAACTTGAAAACGCCATGACGTGGCGGCCGAACCGGTAGTACGTCCAGGTTACACCATCAGGGCCGTTCGCTACGGTTCTTCCCCAAGTAGGCTCGGCCTCCAGATGAAAATACCGATAAATCTTTTTCTCCCTCGCCGTCCTCGGTTTCAATTCCTTATCCCAGTATATGTCCCATTGCACCCGCGCCCTTTGCAAAACCCATCTTAACTTGTACAACTGCTCGGCTCCAACAGCTCTTAGTTCTTCCCAATCGTCGTCCGTATTCCGCAGAAACTCAAAATAGAATGTAGGTTCACGTCCTGTGATTCGTGTCCTTCCGTAGTACCCTTCCTTGCGCAAAGGTCGCTTTCTCGTCTTAATCGCGCAGATGCTTACGGCGAGTTCGGAAGGTAGGTCTCCGTCTTCAGGAGGCTCCTCTGCGCTTGTGATAATGATTTTGACTCGCTTCTCGTGTTCTGCTAAGACCTCTGATAGAAATCCAACCAAGTCTTGGGACTGATCACTGTCGTCAATGTCTGCTTCGCAGCAGTCTATTCGGTCAACAATGATTGCAAATGGTGTGGTCAGCCTAGCGACAACTGAGCTGAAGAGACGGCACGCCTGGTGGAAATTTATGGTCTTCCGGAAGACGCGGAGGTTGAATATGTCGGGGGCTTCGATGGTGAGCTCCGGCATTTGTTCCAGCAGCTGACATATGAGTTTCCTAATCACCATCGTCGGAGTGAATATTTGATCTGCTGGTCGGTCGCACATTGCAGACGCCACTAACACATCCTGAACTTGAAAAGCTTGAATCATATCCATCGAAAACTCGGTAACCCAAGTATCGCGATCTTCGGCAGGCCCAAAGATTGCCAGGATAGAGGCCGGTTCAAGTTGATACCATTCTTGAAGGTAATCTAACATACCGTTTACCTCCCAGTGTTCCTTCGGTGAGAGTCGAAATTCACGAGACTGCCACATGATCAATTCCTCCCATTCGGTTTCCGTGTCAGGAAGAATGGCGTTGATTAGACTATCGCTCCAATTTCTTGTCTGTGCATGGTGTATCTCTGCGAAGCGAAATCAGCTATCCTATGGGATTGGAACCGACTCAGAGCTTACTGGAGTAACCGAGTTGTAGTGTGTCAACCGCTTGAGTCAATGCTGAGATATTTGCGACCATAGAACGTGACTGGTCAGCAATGGAATCGATCATCCTGGACTGATCTTTCAAAATCTCGTGTGTGTCCTTCAACACAGCTAGACTTGCAGACTCGGCGAGGTCTTTTAACGTCCGGTATGAATGCTCCACCCTCTGGAGACCCTCTTCGAAGTCATACTTTGGTTTCAATGACGTTACATCCACAAGCTTGGCTGAAAGGCTTTGTTAGCTTGCAGTAAATTTTGTAGGCCACTAGCAACTCACCTATCCTACCAATGGCACAGTATTCCGTAACGCAAACAATCAGATCCAGGACGTCGAGATACGTCTTAGCGAGCTGAGCTCTCATTTGATCAGTCGGAAACAGCACATCATATAAACCCAGGAACGGTAGCTTTTGCCGAAGACTTTCGAAGACGGCGATGACCTTTTCTTTCTTCTCCTGTTTTGCAACCAAAATCTGCTTCTGTTAGCCGAAAATACCATCATCTGGGATGGTAGCGGATGGACCTTGAATATGATCATCAAGCATCCATATGGTATCGTGTACTCTGGACTCTGAGGTACCAGCGGGTCAAAAATCTCCGCCAGCTGCTGTGCAAGAGAAGCAAAGGTGTAGGTAGCGTCAGAAAGCCATTGCCTCTTCGACTGCTCTAATCTATTGGTCGACTCGCAATATCTCTCTTCAATAAATTGTTCGACGGCGGTCGCATCAAAATGTTTGATCTCATATCCATCTACCTTACCAGACAAGAGCAAGGCATCATCAGGCGGCAGATACTTTGCTAGCCTAGAGTTGGACGCTCGACAGGCGTCAAGAGCCTTTTTGTATATACTAGAGTAATTGAGTTAACTGTGTCCCGGGACATACAGAGTACCTTCGGAATGTTAAGGCTCATGCTCACAAATTGTCAGTACCAGGTCGATACCACTCACTGAGCGACCCCTGCGGCTTGTCGCGAGGTCTTGCACCTGGGGCTACGCGGATAGGATGCGTCTGGCTGAAAGTATTTTGATGATTTTACAAGCCATCAAGATACGACATGGTTGCACGACAAAAACTGTTGACCCAGCCCTAAACCAGCAGAGGAGGTTAGCTGATCACACAACCGACTCTGCGCCCATCCGGGCACTCTCCACCCACCGATGTCGCCGTCACCAGAGAGATTTCTTCCAAGTTGACAATCAATCGAAATTTGGACCTTTTGTACAGCAAGAAGAAAATTATCACGGGAGAAAAACCGAACAAGGTCGGTTTGGGGGATGTGTTTTGTACTTTTTTATGCGGCATGAATCCAAGTGCGAGCTGGTGAGGTCTTGACATGGCACAGCCACCGCCGACTGACCCTCACCTCAAGTCATGAAAAGACGTCTTGACTTAGTTTCAAGGAGCCTCTCCTCCGCCCCCGAAAATGCGCCCTGTGGCTGAAGTCCTAGTCAGCCCCGCGTGAGTCGCCTAATGCTCGACCGACGTCCCACCGCAGCGGCGAGGCTGCATACATCGCTGAGTTGGCACCCTGTCGCAACCCTGGTCAAGCGCCCGAGCAATCACAGCCCAGCCACCAGAGGGGAAGTTGCGGGCTTCATTACAAAGCTTTCAGCTCAATATCAAGGCAATCGGATCGAGGTGGCTGAAGCTGGACGATATTAGTCTGTATCGGCCTGTTGGGCAGGTTCATCCTATGTGGCAGTGCTGCTCAGCTGGACTGGCACAGGTACCAACCATCTGTTATTTCATGTCTATAGTTTGGTTCCTCCCCCTTCCGTAGTTACAATCCTCACGAAATTTCCCTCTTCTATCCGATAGCATTTTTGACAACATTATGGCTTGTGGCATTCCTACCCCAGATGTGTCAGGTCCGTCGAACGGTATCACGCTGGACAACTTTCAACCTGTATGTGCGCAGAAGGATAGGACAGCCTTATGGGCGTCAGGAGATCATCATCAAGCTGACATAGCCTTTTTATCAGGCTATAGAGCATGGACCACATTGCAGCGCCCAGAAACAAACAGTAGCTTCCTTCGCAGAACGGATAGGTCGACGGAAGGAAGGTTCCGGAGGAGAAATTACCTGGATAAGCCAGAAAAAATGGGAAGAAGAACAACAGAAGGAGAATTTACAACAGTCAATGTTCGCGTTCTGCCTCGATGATTCCGGGAAGAAAAGCGAGATCAAGATTACCTCTCCAGTTCTGGTCGAAGTGATCAAAGAGATTGTCCCTCTCTCCTTTTTTGAATCCACTCCAGACAGTGTCACCTTCCAAGAGCCGTACGCACACCTCTTTCAGTACTCCAAGGACATACACAAAGCATTAGAATCTCGGATTAGCCCCCATTCGGACCAATTTCGAGACTTTCGGACCCTGATATCTTTCCTGGAAAGTCACGCAAGGTACGGTATCATATGGAAATCCCTGGATCGAGACAATCAGAGAGTAGTCAGTTTCGAGAACCTCTGGGCCGTTTTCAGAGTTGGTGAACCCGTTGCCGTCCAAGACCGGCTAGAGGAGAAACGCCTCTTCAAATTTACACGTCTTGAAGACAGTATTGGAGACATGGGACACCAAAAAGACTTTTGTGTAGCAGTGGAGGTGCATTTCTGGTATATTGTCTGGAGCCCAGGGAAAAAGCGATTTTGTCAGAAAAGTCAATATTCCAAGATCCCGAGGTTTGCTGGTCACCGAAAAGTAACTTCTCTACCTATTTATCCCTTGCGATATGAGGATCAAGCTACGAGGGAGCCTTTACTTATGAAACTGCAAGCTCGTGGAAGGAAATGGGCGGATCTCATCTCGAAACCACCCACTTGTTTTGAGTATTCTGGCCACGCTATATCAGAGGACGAGGATGGAAGACTGACTCAGAATCTCACGCATGTAAGTTTGCCCCGTTCCCTGAAGTCCGGTTTCCATCTCATTCATTGAAACATGTAGTTGGAAGGGCGCATCATCCTGGACCAGAAGGACACCATGTCCATTTCCGGTCTTATCGAAGATATTGAATTTCACAACAGCTCGGGCGAAGTGGATGAGAAGCTCAACGACTCTTGGAACACTTCCCAGGCCTCGAAATTGTCCAGCCCAGAGCATTTTCAGCTTTGTCCCCCACAGATCAGCTGCTATCACGTTTCAAGTGGGAAGCGCTACGTCGTGAGCGTTACTAACCTGCAACCAGCGAGATGGTCTGAGACGGCGATAAACCAGCTTATTCTTGATAATGACAAAAAGGATATGCTCACGAGTATCGTGAGTAATCAGAATAACAATCAGATTAAGAGTGGTGATATCATTGAGAACAAGGGCCGTGGACTAACAATTGTTCTTCACGGTCCCTCAGGGGTTGGAAAGACTCTGACGGCCGAATGCATAGCTGAGCACGCCAAGAGACCTCTTATACCTCTAAGCGTTGGCGACCTTGTTGCAATGGAGGATTCGATTGAGGATCGATTAACGGAGGCTTTCGCGAATGCTAGTCGCCTGGGGGCAATACTTCTGCTTGATGAGGCAGACGTTGTCCTGGAAGCGCGCTCTTTCGAAGATGTGCGAAGGAATGGAATTGTCTCGGGTCCGCAACAGCCCCACTCATATGGCTTTTCTCAGTGACTGACGCTTCAGATAGTGTTTCTGAGACAACTCGAGTACTACAGCGGGATCCTTGTCCTCACAACCAACCGGATAAATTCTATGGACCCAGCATTTCAATCAAGGATACAAGTTGCAATCGCATACAGCGAACTCAGCACGAAACAAAGAGAAGGCATCTGGGGGAGCTTGTTGAATAGCAACCTGATAGATTCTACCGAAAGCGACAAGGCCATCATCGAAGACCATATACCACAGCTCGCGCAGTATCCACTGAATGGTCGCCAGATACGCAATACCCTGAAGCTGTCCGCCATCATGGCTGCGGCAGATCTCGTCAGTGATCGAAAGGTACAGATGAAACACATCGAAAAGGCGTTAAGAGATGCCCTGCAGTTTCAAGAATGTTTGGAGGCGGGCAAGAAGGAAATGAAAAATAGAAACAGGGTCTGGAAACCCTTTGCTCCATCGCAGGGTCGGAATTATGTATGAGGAATCCGAACCGGTAAGCCTAACTGAACTCTATGTTCGCCATCCACGGACACGCAAATCATAACTTTCTTCATCCTAGAAATACTGAACTCCTGTGGCGGTACCAGCTTTGGCATTACGTCCAACTGGATTACGGCGGTTATAGTAACGATACGGCACAGAAGCAATATGGGAGAAACACCCAAGCTCTATTGATCACACTATACAAAGAGGCCAAGCTAAGGAGGAGCAAAGCAGAGTGTTGTCGAGGACATCGATCTATATACACAGGAGGGTCGTCGACGAGGCTGCACCAGGAGGCGCTCGAAGGTGGCTAGGTATGTAATATTACATATATCTCTCCTAAGTATGCTATGTTTTGTCCGTGTATATATTTAGTCCAGTATTGCGTTTGCCGAAATTCGCCAAGAAGATCAGAGCCTGCCTCTGCCATGATGAAAGGCGAGGCTGAACAAGGCTTTGAATCAGCACGTGACTCAGCGGCCGATCATTATGTGTGGAATACGGAGCACATTTCCGCCAGACCTTCCCGCTCGCTCACTGACTTGCTCTCCATAACACCGAGTCTTCCGCTGTCTGGCTGTCTGGCTCACAGCAGCATCAACATGGGCCTTTGGAATCATGCGCTATTATCTAAAACACATCATTGTCATTCATTGGGCCTAAAAATCATGGTAATGTCAAACCACCAGTCGCATCTCGTCCCTTGCGAATACGAAGGGACTGGGATCTTGAAGCGCAACCAGGTGAGAATGGGCGGAAAGTGATGGGTGACAGGGGCGCTTGCACCAGGCTTCGCTGCTGCCTAGCTTCGCACTATTTACGGCCCTATATCTAAGGCCATATATTTCCGGCCATAACATGCATTGGAACCCAGGGATAAATGTCCATTTCTCATGGTTTGTCAATCGAAGCAAACCGTCAGCTTGTCTAGAGTCCTTGATTCCTTACTTATGGCTTTCGAATTGAAAATAGCGCATTCTAGGGACGGCACCAAGATTGCATTCTACCAAGTCGGTAAGGGACCAGGCATCATCATTCTCCATGGAGCGATACAGCATGGCCTCAGCCACATGGACCTTGCAAAAGGACTATCAGAAAGTTTCACCTGCTACCTTCCTGACCGGCGAGGGCGTGGGAGGTCTGGCCCAACCGGAAAGAACTACTCAGTTGAAAAAGAAGTGGAAGATGTTGAAGCTATTCATGCTATTACTGGTGCAAAATTCATCTTTGGTGTGAGCTCGGGGGCACTGATTACATTGAGAGCGGCCTTGGCAGCTCCTCCATCGCACATACAACGAATTGCACTATTTGAACCGCCTTGGTGGCCCGAGTCGGCTCGAGAAGGACAGATGGCGTGGAGGCGGAGATTTGAAGCTGAAATAGATCGAGGCCAGATTGCAAAAGCTGCTATCACTGGAATGCTTGGGGCGGAGATGGGCCCGGCTATCTTCCGTTCCAAATACTTTCCACAAACCGTCTTGGTGCTCCTGACGAAAGTGATGATGACATTAGAGCAAAGGGAAAAAACAAACAAAGAGACGACTGATAGCGTCTTACCCAGCAGGCAACCGTTGGTGAAGGATCTGGTCCCAACCTTCCGCAATGATATCGAAATTGCGATGTCCATGCTCGGAGAAGACAACCTTCAGAAGCTGTCGGCGGTTCAAACAGAGACACTTATCTTGGGCGGGAGTCGAAGCCCGCCATTTCTGAAACATTCGGTTCTTGAGCTTCAAAATATCCTCCCCAACTGTGCGCGTGTCGAGTTCGAAGGTCTCGATCACGGCGGGACGTTTAACAAAGCACAACATGGCAGTCCGGACGTGTTCGCGGCTGAGCTCCATCGATTCTTTTCTCAAGGCAACGGCAACGAGACGTTGAAGGAGGATGCTTCACCTCGGTGAGCAGTCTCCATTCGTGGTTTAACCCTGTGTGCCTCAGGAACCTAGTTCCACAGAGGAAGGTGTCTAGTTCTAGGGAGTGATGGCTTCTTTCCCACTCTTTGCAGACGATGGTTTAGAGAAGGCGAATTGTGATGGCGTACGGTGTCTGCTTGTGGAGGGTGAAAGGCCATGGAGATGTCCGTGCAAATGTCTCCGAGGAAGAAGAATACTTGGACGATATAACTCGGGGCATCGTTTCTTTGCTTCCTTGTAGCCACATCGGTATTCAGGGGTTCATCGGATGTCTCGAGAATGTATCTGGTCAATTCCCTTGAGATTGTTGTGTCCTCAAAGGGACACCCACTCCACCCCCATCCTCTTCTCACGACTACCTAGGGGAAACTTTTCTATTCGTATACGCAGCCAATCACTTCAACGAGACTGGCGTCAATTCTCGAACTCGGTTCGGCACCCCCTCACTACCACAGCCTTCTCCGCAAGTTGAAGATGCGGGCGAAAGGGGAGGAAAGGTGGAGTAGCACGGGGATCTAAGAGCAATGTTTCGCTCAACCTGGGAATTTAAATAGGTCAATTGATACCATTTCGTGTAAGGCTGATTCTCCTGCTACGACAAGGATTAACATCGACCTCGACTAACGTACCAAAGGAAATTTAACCGGGGAAGAAATGGGTCGGCTCGACGGAAAGAGTATAGTCGTGACAGGTGCGGGAGCTGGGTTTGGGCGAGGCGTAAGTAAAGATGCAATGCTTTTGATTGACATTAAAGCGGTGTTGAGCAAGATATGGAAGTCTCGCAACTGGCTTGCTCGACTTCTACGTATATGATGACCCTCGAGTCGTCAAGGACAGAAATGTACACGTCTGCCGTTCAGGGCGTGGAAGTGTTATTACATGGAAGAGAATCCGGCTTCTAACACACAATTTCCCCTCCAGATCGTCCAAAAGCTCACAGCCGAAGGAGCCTCCGTCTTGGCTGTCGACGTCAACAGCGGTGAAAACGACAAAACCGTCGCGTCGTGCTCCTCCAGCCCCGGAAAAGTCCACGCCTTCACCGGCGACATAACGCTCGAGTCCTCATGGCGCTCCATCCTCGCAACAGCCCTCGAAAAAAATTCAAACCGTCTAGATGTGGTCGTCAATTGCGCCGGCGTGGTGCATCTCGCAGGTCCGTCGCATGAAATGGCCGAAGACGAGTTCGACAGGGTGTTTCGCGTGAATGTGAAACCACTGTATTTGAGCACTAAGGTGATTGTGCCTTGGTGGAAGGAGAACAAGCTACCGGGCTTATTTATCAACCTAAGCAGTATCAGTGAGCCACGGCCTCGGCCGAATTTGGTGTGGTATGCTTCGAGTAAGGGAGCAGTCACAGTTGTGAGTTACAGAGAACTCCTTTGTTTCCAGCGCATTGTTATCAAGGGTTAGCCCCTTCTTCAGCTGACAAGATGCATACAGGCGACAAAAGGCCTTGCGGCAGAGTATGCTGTCGATCAGATCAGATATAATTGCATTCGACCAGCAGTTGGAGAAACGGCTATGTGAGTTGCCCAAGTTCAGCGCGCCTCAATGAAATATCTCATGTTCGACAGGCTCCCTCGAGTACTTGGAGGCCAAGACTCACCAGAAGGACGAAAAAAGGTTCTGGGCACGATTCCGCTTGGTCGAGTGTGTCAGCCAGCCGATGTTGCAAATATGGTGTGTTTTCTCGCATCGGACGAGGCGAACTATATCACAGGTGCGGCATTTGATGTCGACGGCGGCAGAGGCGTGAGCTGAATGGAACCTGTTCGGTGGAAAGCTGCACAGTCGACAGTATATGAATAAGCTTGGTACATGATCGTACATTTTGTCCTTCCAAAACTGATACTTTACAAGCTGATCTCTCCTTTCCACATGGCGTCGTTGAGCCCCAGTTTCTCGACAACGTTTTGCCATCTTGGCCCGCCTCGGTCTTGCCTTCTTAGATAAGCCATCAATTTTTGTCTCTTGTGCACCATCATTCTCAATCGCCGCTTATTGCTTTTGTCCTTCTTGTGCAAGTTGTTCGCAAGGACGTTAATCTTGGCCGTCAGGATCGCAATTTGAACTTCAGGAGACCCAGTATCTGCGCCGATGCGTTTCGGGACAGTGACGGCAATTGCATCGGAGTCTTCACTTTCCTTCCTGACATTCTGCTTGCTCTGAAGCCCTGGCGCAAGAACTCCTTCAGTGTTGTGACGGCCGAACTCCTCAATACATCTTTGAATGTTGATGCGTGTGCGATCCTTGCTGCTAGCGTTTTCCAGTGAGGCAATAGCCAGTAAAGCCTTCGAGGCATTTCCGTGGGAGGCTGCATGCTCTTTGATTCTTTCCGCAAGCCGCGCTTCAGCCCCCACAATAGGATTGGATTCGGGAAGAGGTTCGGTAAGCCACTTGGAGTATTCTAGAGACTTCTGTACGTCGTCTGCTTTGAGGAAGTAGTTGAGGTACGACTCTTTGATCGTCGAGATAGGAGCATTTGCTTGCAAGGAATTGACAAACGGAGTCGGTCGTGATCGGACAGGGTCACCAAGGGAGAGTTCCCGTTCTGCTTGCAACACTTTTTGTCGTGCTAAATTCGCTGATTTGCGCTGCCGGGCTTGCGCCAGGCGATAAGGGTCGACATGCTTCCTAACCTTTCGCTTCCTTGTCCGCTTCGCTTCCAAAGGAGCTGTAGTCGAGAAGAGGCATGCAGAGCACTTTGTGAGTGCTCGACTTCGCGTCGTAGCGGGCAAGCTCTGAAGGAGGCTGGTCACTGCAAAACTGATCAGCAAAGTAGTCTAGGAAGATTATGGTTGGCTTACAGTTGAAGATACTGTTCATGGCAGTAGTATGAATCCGTGGTGGCATAGTGAGAGCAGTTGCATTAACGAAACTTGAACGCAGTCTGGTCTACACGCTCTCCTCTCTGCGTGTAGCACAAGAACTTTCCCCGAGTCTTGATTGAGATTGAGAATCTAAGCCGGTCGAAAGTATTTCCGTCCCGGAGCAAGATGGGTCCTGGATCCGGGAAGTGGTCCGAAGAGAAATCTTGGCATGGATTAGCTAAACGCACAATCAAGGATCTCATTGATCGATCTTTTTGCTCGCGAACTTGAGCTTCGTTGTTGGACTTCATCTATCAACCTTTGCATTCTTGTTCCCTTCTTCTTCCTTCAGCACTCGCCTTTTTGACTGATAAAAGAACTCAGTCGCAATCATGGCGAGCCCAGCAAACCTCCCTCCTATCTTCAACCCCACCTCCCAGGACGTTGAAATGCTCCTTGCAGCGCAATGTCACTTGGGATCCAAGAACCTCCAGGTTCACATGGAGCCCTACCTGTGGAAGACTCGTCCTGATGGCATTAATGTCATAAACATCTCAAAAACCTGGTATGAATCATATCTACACTGCTGTCCTCAGCTCCTCACACAGCTGCGACTTTGGTGGTTCAAAATTGCGCCCACTCGAATATCAATTGACTCGGGTCTCTTTTAGGGAGAAAATCGTCTTCGCGGCCCGCATCATTGCCGCTGTCGACAACCCGGCCGACATCTGTGTCATCTCAGCCCGCCCTTATGGTCAGCGCGCAGTCCTCAAGTTCGCCGCCCACACCGGGGCTGTTGCCATCGCCGGTCGCTTCACTCCTGGTAACTTCACCAACTACATCACCCGCTCGTTCAAGGAGCCCCGCCTGATCATCGTGACCGACCCGCGCACCGATGCCCAAGCCATCAAGGAAGCCTCCTATGTCAACATCCCCGTCATTGCCCTCTGCGATACCGATTCCCCTACCGAATTCGTCGATGTCGCTATCCCCACCAACAACAAGGGCCGTCACGCCATCGGCTTGATCTGGTGGATGTTGGCTCGTGAGGTGCTCCGTCTTCGTGGCACATTAGCCAACCGTGAAGTCGAGTGGGATGTGGTTGTCGATCTGTACTTCTACCGTGATCCTGAAGCTGAGGAACAGAAGGAGGAGGAGAAAGTGCCAGGTGCGGAGGAGGCTGGTCCCGGTGCTGTCGATCGTGGATTTACAGACGCTGCAGATTGGACTGGAGAGCCTGGCACTGCGCCTGGAATCGAGGGTGCGCCTCAGGCTGACGCTAACTGGAACGAACCAGCCACTGGCACTGGTGATTGGGCACAGGAGGCTGCTGGCGGCGCCAGCGGCTGGTAAAAAGCTTTTGCTGAGCAAAAGCGAGCCAGGGAAGATTTGCGTGACAGCAATTGCGTCTGCGACTCCGGCCAAAAGATCACCTACGCACCATCACATCCAACAAACATCCTACCGAAAAGTCAGACACACAGACGTGGCCAAGATTTCCGAACCACAACAGAACACTAAAAACCGCACCCAATTCGCAAGCAAGGCCGAAAGTCAATGGCACTCACGAGGGAAAGATACTCGACCTGAGGATCACTCATTCTTCCTCGGTGGAGAGGGAAAGCCCTGTGCTGGAGACGACGGGATGTACTTGATCGTTGCCCAGTCTTGTTTGTTGGAAGGATGTGGCTATGCGAACATGAGGCCGGCCCAAAGCATCTACGAGGCCTTCGGATAAAATAGCTCAATCGAATCGAGGTTGAGAGAAAACGTTCCAAGTTCATTCTTTTCTAAGAGACTCCATGGTTGCAGATTGATGTTCCAGTTTTCTTTTTCCTCTCCTTTTTTTTTGGATCTATTGTCTGACTCTTAACAACAATCCACTAACATGCCCTGCAATTCCATTTGCCCGTTTCCTGCCCGTGCACTAAGTTTAAGGAAATATGTCTGTCCATCATCGTAGATACAACAGGTAACAGCGGTAATTCTTCTCAACCGGTACCCAACATGCGAGTACAATCCGCTTCCCAAAGATCGAAGGCTGTGAATGAAATCAAAAACTTCCGTCGATGGCAAAACCACTTCGCCAAAGTCTCACATGTGCAGCCGCAACAAAATCGACTTGCACCCAGATTTCCTCCACTTCGTCCAACCTTAAACAGAACAATATTTGTTGGCTTTTCCAATATCCAAGCCACTTCCCCCCTCGCGCGTCACATATTCCGCATCTGTCGAGTTGAATTGTGTCATTTAGCGATCTAGAAAACGTCTGCTCTTACCATACAAGCCCGTCAAATAGTTTTGCGTGGTTTAGCCGATAAATCAACCTGGTCAATGAGGATGATGGTATGTCGAGTTTGGTCGATGGGTGTGTTTGATTGGTCTCTCTTCGGCACAGGTGGGTTGCGATAATTCGGATTTTGAAGTCGACGAACGAGTACTGAGGAATTTATACATACTTCTTTATTAATTGCGACGGCCAGCAGTAGCAAACCGTGCAGGGTTCTTGCATTCCGATTGAGTGCACGCTCGTGACTGGGTTTTGCCTCTGCCCAATCGTCGCCCACAATGACACCGCCCATTCGAACATGCTCGACAAATGCACCCAGCTTCATGTACTGCAGGCGGCTCTGGTGCTGCATGTTCGTGCTTGTGAGACTCTCGATGCATTATGTTAGGAAAATGGTTACAGGCCGCGAAAGGTGAGTCGATTCCAATGGATGATGTTCGAGCAACGAAAGACCAGTTCAAGGAAGACAGAGAGATTGGTGTGTAGAATAGTTCAAGTGATCCAGCTTTGGTATTTCAGGAGGACTGGGGAGGGGAGAGCTGCTTGTGGAGGAGAGATGGAAAATTGAGGGCTCCTGGGCGGTTTAAATACTTGTAGACTTACTCTCGTCCATCACGTTCAGTCCCATGGGGCTTCAGAGGGCAGTGAACCAGACAGTGACTCTGAGGCACCTAGAAGCCTCTCATGGCCCATCTTCATTGCAACCGGTGTGTCCTTGGGCACAAAGAACGGAATGGGATGTTATTGTCGACGACGAAACGCGGGGCTATCCCCGTTGCTCGATCCAACAGATGTTGAAGTCAGAATGACGGAAGCTAACTTGCCACACGAAACTTCATTATGGGAGATATGGACAATAAATGGTCCAGATGTCTCAAGTCGCCAAGACCTTGAGCCGAGGATGAGTTCATGGTGTGAATTGGAGGCAGCTCGCAATCAAGGCTTGACGCAGATCAGCGATTTAATAGCTCTTCTCCATAGAGAAAACCTGTGGCTAAAGGTTCGTATATGGGGATAGTCTCTAGACTCGGGATGCTGCTGATGCTTCAACGGACGCTATTATGGTCCTGACGAAGGGTTGCACAATCTCAGGGCCTCATAGACTGGTCAGCAGATTATTCCGAAATGTGGCTTCCGTTGACAATGCAACAGCAGACTGTCTCGTTTCAGGGCTTCTATTGGGTGGCTGGTTCAGGTCTGGGCAGGATAAACATTTCCAAGCTGAGATAGATCTTATAGCGAACCGTAGCGCCAAACAAGTGAAGGTGAAGGTGTTTACTTGTAGAAATTAGGCTACAACAGTGGGAATGTTTTCACAGACCAGCCTTACCCGCATATGTCACGTGAGCTTCAAGTTCAGCCTCGTCGGTCTCTATGCAACACTCCTTTCGCGCTCTGCTATGCCTCTAGGATTTCACAATTTTCTACATTATACTCCGTCGATGTGATGATTGTGGATATATTGCTTGATACCCTGTCACCATAGACCTCTTCGGGACCCCAAAGTCAGGCTGAAACAAACCATCTAGTTTCGGATCAAGGCAGTGGCTAGCTCCTGGGCAAGGCGTCCAAGCCCAGTAGTAGCCGCCATTGGCATCAACTTGGGGCCGAAAGGGCCCCGGATCGTCGCGTTCGCTGTCTTCAAACGAAACTGGCTTCAGCCGCGTGAGGGCGTTTTTCTTTTCGTTTTCCTTCCCTCTTGCTGGCAGGGCTTGTTCATCAATCCTCTTTTCTACAGACGTCTAGTCACTGCAATCTTCCTGAATGACGGATTTTATACTCATCTCTTGAGTTTCAGTGCTATTTGTTTCGGCTCTTTTCCTGCATACGAGTTCCTGACGGCCCGCTCCTTGGGACCCTCCCGGTCAGTTGGCAGAACTATATCACGAGATCCCCCATGGCTGATCATGCCAGCACGACGTCATGGGCTCCTTGGAAGGTTCTCCTCGGTTGGACTCCTTTCCACATCGACGCTCTTGGTCTTGTAACGCTCTTGGGAGCTGAAGAGGTCAATGCTGCCGTAGGGCGACTCGTGAGCAGTGCCTATCTCGAATATTTACCTTTGCTGGGTGCATATGTCATTGCTGGAAACAGATTTACTGAGAAGGCAGCTGGCTTCAATCTCTACAACATATCGCAAGGCATCCACACAACAGACCTCGCCGCCTGGTTGACAAGATGGATGCTCTCCCAGGAATTCGAAACCACTCGCAACTTCGTGGTTTGGACGGTGACGCCCCCAAAATCTCGAAAGAACGAAATATCTTTTTCCCTAGTGATAAGCTTCGTTCTGAATGGCTTCCTTGTCGCCGGCACTATTCTTTCCAAGGACTGGTATGGCTTTGCTAATGCAATGGCTATGGTTGTCTCAATCATCGTTCGTGCCTATGTCATCGGTCAACAACGTATTGGTTTCGATGCCATGGTAGACAAGGCCGTCGGGACATCAGGGCCTCCCACAGGGAACAATTACGAAGCGCGACGGTATGAGTATGATTTATGGAAGCAAAAAAAGAAAGATGAGAAGAAGCCCATTCTAAAGAACAGAGCAGCGCAGTCAGCATCTGAGGAAACCCAATCCATTGGAAGCAATTCTTCGAACCCCTCAAACGGACAGAAGAAAGCAACTCAGAATGTACAGCCAGCAGTGCGTCCAACCCGTCCAAATCCCAGGGACTATGATAAAAAGAACGAGGTCTGGACCGGAAAACCCACGAAGGTTCTCATCATCCAATCTGATTCGAAAGCGGTCACCTTCTGGATGCCCAATGAGCTGCTAGTTGCGCCATCCGTCTTTATTGAAGGGCCTGTGATCTTGAATCCAAAGACATATTTCATCATGAGATCCATTGGATGGCTTGCATTTGCTGTGCACATTGTCGCCATCGGTATGGCGGACTTGGCAAGTCAGATGTACACGGTCGCACTAATGGTGCTGCCAACCATCCTATTGATATCAAAGGTCGGATGTGACGACTCCGAGTGGTTTTCGAACTTCGAAAGTTGGATCAGAAGGAAGCTCTATGGCGAGAGCCAAAACGGCAAGGCTGAAAAACAACAAGACGCCGAGAAAAGCGTGAAGCCTACCGAATTCAGAAAATTGCGGCAATGCTGGATCGGGTCCCGGCTCAGGGCAGAGATCTACGAGTGGCCTGAATCGTACGAGTTTCGGGAGGAAGGAGAAGGCAAGGACAAGAGGTGGGTCAGTGGAGGACGAAAAGAGGGCACAGAACGATCCAAGAAACGGCAAGATCTGTACGCCTGGCTTGCGCTCACCACGGACGAAGAAGAGAGCATGGACAAATGGGATCTTTTCCCGCACATCCGCCAGGGCAATACCTCATGGTGGCAAACCTACAAGCTCAAAAAGGCATCGCTGAAAGGCGACAAGCGCGACAGCATGGGACCACAGCAACCCGTCGATAATACACTCCAACTGCAGCCGCAACCGCAACCGCCATCGACCAAGCCGGCCGCCACCACGACGCAGAGCCCTCCAGATCAGCGACCAAAATCGTTCCAAATGCCCGGCAGGACGGCGACTATCCACTTCCTCGGCGGGAGCGCTCCGCCGCAGACTAGCAGGCAGACGATGCCGGAGCCTCGCCAAAGCAGCTCAGTCACGGTCGGCAGTTCCGCATTCCCTGCCATCAGCGACCACGATCAGATCAAAATCACCGACGGTGACGACGGCACGCAGACCGACGACGCCGAAACGCAGACTCAAGGGAGCACCACTGCGGAACTCGGCAACAGAGATGCAGGGACTAGACTTCCTCCAGTCGCCACTACCCATTTACACAGCGCATCAGCGCCGGGTCCCGACGATGCAGCCTCTTCCTCCCCCGAGATCTATCCTTCTGGAGTTCTGACTCAATCGCCCACCACCACCGACAACACCCACGACGACAAACATAATTAGACACCATTATTTGTCTGGAAATCGTGGACTATAGTTTTTGATATTCCTCTCTTTTCGCAATTTAGCACAGTTGGGCCTTGGTCGTCATGTTATGGGTGGTCTTTGCCAAAGAGAATGTTTGATCAAGTTATGATGATCGTT